TTTTTTTCATTCATTTCTTTCATTCATTTGATTCTTTTCATTTTCATTCATTTGTTATTTTTTTAATCATTCATTTTTTTATTCATTTAAGTCATTCATTTTATTCATTCATTTGATTCATTCATTTTATTAATTCCTTTGATTCATTCGTTTAAGTCATTCATTCATTTCATTCATTCATTTGAGTTATTCATTTAAGTCATTCATTTTATTCATTCCTTTGATTCATTCATTTTATTCATTCCTTTGATTCATTCGTTTAAATTATTCATTTGATTCACCCATTTGATTTATTCATTTCATTCATTCATTCATTCATTTGAGTTATTCATTTTAATCATTCATTTGACTTATTCATTTAAGTCATTAATTTTATTCATTCATTTGATTCATTCATTTAATTCATTCATTTGATTGATTCATTCATTTCATTCATTCATTTGAGTTATTCATTTTAATCATTCATTTGACTTATTCATTTAAGTCATTAATTTTATTCATTCATTTGATTCATTCATTTTATTCATTCCTTTGATTCATTGTTTTTAATTCATTCATTCGTTTAAGTCATTCATTTGAGTCATTCATTTTTTCATTCATTCATTTGAGTTATTAATTTTAATCATTCATTTAACTTATTCATTTTATTCATTCATTTTATTCATTCATTTTATTCATTCATTTAATTTTCATTTGATTGATTATTCATTTCATTCATTCATTTTATTCATTTTAATCATTCATTTAACTTATTCATTTAAGTCATTCATTTTATTCATTCATTTGATTCATTCATTTTATTAATTCCTTTGATTCATTCGTTTAAGTCATTCATTCATTTCATTCATTCATTTGAGTTATTCATTTAAGTCATTCATTTTATTCATTCATTTTATTAATTCCTTTGATTCATTCATTTGATTCATTCATTTGATTGATTGATTCATTTCATTCATTCATTTGAATTATTCATTTTAATCATTCATTTGACTTATTCATTTAAGTCATTCATTTTATACATTCCTTTGATTCATTCATTTTATTCATTCCTTTGATTCATTCGTTTAAATTATTCATTTGATTCACCCATTTGATTTATTCATTTCATTCATTCATTCATTCATTCATTTGAGTTATTCATTTTAATCATTCATTTGACTTATTCATTTAAGTCATTAATTTTATTCATTCATTTAATTCATTCATTTGATTGATTCATTCATTTCATTCATTCATTTGAGTTATTCATTTTAATCATTCATTTGACTTATTCATTTAAGTCATTAATTTTATTCATTCATTTGATTCATTCATTTTATTCATTCCTTTGATTCATTCGTTTAAGTCATTCATTCGTTTAAGTCATTCATTTGATTCATTCATTTCATTCATTCATTTGAGTTATTCATTTTAATCATTCATTTAACTTATTCATTTAAGTCATTCATTTTATTCATTCATTTGATTCATTCATTTAATTCATTCATTTGATTGATTCATTCATTTCATTCATTCATTTGAGTTATTCATTTTAATCATTCATTTGACTTATTCATTTAAGTCATTAATTTTATTCATTCATTTGATTCATTCATTTTATTAATTCCTTTGATTCATTCGTTTAAGTCATTCATTCATTTCATTCATTCATTTGAGTTATTCATTTAAGTCATTCATTTTATTCATTCATTTTATTAATTCCTTTGATTCATTCATTTGATTCATTCATTTGATTGATTGATTCATTTCATTCATTCATTTGAATTATTCATTTTAATCATTCATTTGACTTATTCATTTAAGTCATTCATTTTATACATTCCTTTGATTCATTCATTTTATTCATTCCTTTGATTCATTCGTTTAAATTATTCATTTGATTCACCCATTTGATTTATTCATTTCATTCATTCATTTGAGTTATTCATTTTAATCATTCATTTGACTTATTCATTTAAGTCATTAATTTTATTCATTAATTTGATTCATTCATTTTATTCATTCCTTTGATTCATTCGTTTAAGTCATTCATTCATTTCATTCATTCATTTGATTCATTCATTTCATTCATTCATTTGAGTTATTCATTTTAATCATTCATTTAACTTATTCATTTAAGTCATTAATTTTATTCATTCATTTGATTCATTCGTTTAAGTCATTCATTTGATTCATTCCTTTGAGTCCTTCATTTGATTCATTTTGAAGAAAGAAAAAAAACAATTTTCATACAATCTACAATACTGACTAATTGGATTCTTTCTTTTTTGTTTTCTGAGATTTTATAGCTTGTCGTAAGACCGGGAATCGTTAAACAGGTACCGTAATTCCCTTTGTATAATACGCATTTTTTCTAAAAAATCAGTGGTGAGTTTTATGCACAGCTACAAAAAAATCTTTAAAAAATTGCCGTAAAATAAAATAAGAATTATGACTAAAACTAACTTAGAATAATATTATTCTATGTTTAAAACCATTCTTTTAAAAAATAAGAGTCAGAAACGCTGGCCGTAATGAAATTGGAGGGGTACAATTTATAGGGTTTGATTACCAAACAAGGGGTGCGTATTATGCATGAGTAGAAGCATTTTCCCAGATTTTCAGCACAATTTTTTAGGTGCGTATTATGGATGAAGGCATATCGTACATGGGTAATTACGGTAATTTGTTAAGTGAGGAGAAACCGTATAATATAAGAAAGAGCGCGATTTTGCGCTTCCCTAATATTTAATACTCTGAAAAGGAACTATCTTAAGAATGAGTCATCTTTTGAGGAGAAATTATTGGCAAACCTGGTTGGGAATTCCATCAAATTAAGAGAATGCACTAATGCAGGGGTGCCCCCAGGGCCCTATCCTTGGACAACATTGTTCCTAATTTTCATCAACGACCTTCCTGATGTCATCAGTTCTCAAGTCAGTATCTATTCTGAAGACACAAGTATTTACTTCTGTCTTAAATAGTCAGCCTGGTTTGTTCGATAAGGTCAATTTGGTAGCTAATCTAAAAAAATGACCTAAAAATTCTATTATTAACTGGGGAAGAAAAATAGGACCAGGCATATTTTTGAGCAATCCTCACCTATAACCTCTGAATGGGTATATATATATATATATATATATATATATATATATATATATATATATATATATATATATAATTATCTATTTAAAATTATAACATAAATATGTTATAAAATCACTTATCTTATAACATTCATATTATAAATAATTATATTCGCTCTACTCTGTATTGAGCACTCTTTTAAGAATAGTAATTGTTAGTTATTGGAATTTATTCGGTATACACCAATCATACACTTGGGTGTATATATATATATATGGGTTATTTCTATATATATCTATATGGGTTATATATATATATATACATATATATATATATATATATATATATATATATATATATATAGGTTATATATATATATATATTTATATATATATATATATATATGTATAAAACCCATTCTATATATATATATATATATATATATATATATATATATATAAATTGAACAATAAAAATATTAAAAAAATTAAAATCTTCAGACACACTGGGTTGTATATAAATATTCCTTCGTTTTTATTATTATTTCATTTAGATTCCTCAAGTAGTTTCGGCCAACATGGCCATCATCAGGTGAAAAATAAGTTTCTACTTGCTGGTAGCAGTGAACTAACCCATTCAGCGGTTAGAAGTGAGGATTGCTCAAAATATGCCTGGTCCTATTTCCTTGCTCCAGTTAATAACAAATTGTAGGTCATTTTTTTTTTTAGATAAGCTGCCAAATTGACTTTACCGAATAGACCAGACTGACTATTTAAGACAGGACTAAATACTTGTATCTTCAGTATAGATACCGAGTTGAGAACTGATGACATCAAATCTTAAAACTCTCCCTTCCCTCTCTAAATTCAACCATGTCTCTCACACTATTCCTCACCACCTTCTATGTCAACTTATATAAGCTTAATACTGCCCGTCAAAAGAGTAGATTTTAAATTCATTTTTTGCTGCACCTTTTGAAATAGAAGCCTAAAGATTTAGAAAAAAATAAAATTCTCTGGCGAAATAAATTATTACAAATGGAGCCTTAAAGTGGTCTGTTTTTCTTTAAATTAAATTATTCTCTCTGACTTAACATTGAGCTCTCAGGATTTCGTCCTCCTTGGGATTATCCTACGGATTACTAAGATTTTCGTTACTTAACTACACACACACACACACGCACGCGCACACACACACACACACACACACACACACACACACACACACACACACACACATATATATAGCAAGGAACAAGCGTAATTTAAGATTTAAATCACAAGACATATTGGTGTAAATTTAATAACTAAAACCAACCGCTTTCATCCCAGCTTATCAAATTTTATTCTGGGATTAAAAAAACAAACATGTAAATTAATTTACACTATTTACATTGTTCAGACTATCATCCTCATCTTTGTTGCCATATTTATCACAACGTTTCGGTCGTTGTATGCACCGGCCTTCTTCAGATGGTTGGGATGTCGAACTGAACCCTTTATTCCGCTCGCTGGGTTAGACTGTTCTAGTTCCTCGTACCGTGTCTAATGAATGTCAGTTATCAGTTATCTCCTGTTAATTTACCTCTCAAAGTTCCCCAGTGCCTTAACCAGGTATTGAACTCACACTCTTTGGGTCCTGTCACTGGATCTAACTAACGCCTTTATCCACTGTAGTTTTTCATTTTATTCATTCACTTTATTTTTCATTTTATTCATTCATTTTACTTTATTCATTCATTGTCCTCAAGAACCCAAAGAGTGTGAATTAAAAAAATGTCAATAGTATATTTTAATTGAAAGCCATAGGATTCTTCATTCGAAAGACAATTCTGATCCAAATATAGAAAATCTTTTCGTTGGGAGATATTAAAATATTTCAAATAAATAGGATAACTATATTTATTTATATTACATTAGTTTTCAGATAGTTAGATCTCACTCCCTCACTACGCTTTTCTTTCTTCTTTTCTACCTTCTTTTACAATCTATCTATCTATCTGTTCATATCTATCTATCTATCTATCTATCTGTTGTGTATGATACACCTAATTTACATAAGTGGAGTACCGACCATATAAATATGGGTTGGTACCGGAAGACGAGGGAAGATTAAGAGATCGAATCCAGAGACTCTGCCCGACTGCGACTTAGTCAACCCATTCTGCAGGAACAGTCTTCCCAAGAATATACCAAAACTACCTGTAAATATTGTGTACCTTTTTTCATTGTTTCAATACATTTTGTTACGTACATTTTGTGTTGTATTATTATTATTCCATGCTTATTCAAGCTTCAACACTATCTATCTATCACTTTGCCTCCACCTTGTTTATTTGCCATCAAGGCGGGGGAGATAAAGATTTCCATGGACTTTTTAAATAAATTCTGAAGGGGATTTTGATCCAAATGACGCTGATCTTTCGTTCACAGATACTAAAATGTTTAAAATAAACAAAATAAACATATTTCTAATTAATTATACGTTAAATTATATTAAACGTTCAGTATCTGTCTCTTTGTCTCCCACTACCCTCTCTCTCTCTCTCTCTCTCTCTCTCTCTCTAATTCTCTGATGCATTCAGTATCCATTCATATATATAAATATATATATAATATCTATATAATAAATATATAATACATATAATATATAATATATATAATATATATTATATATATTATATCTATAATTTATATAATATATGACATGATATCTCTCTCTCTCTCTCTCTCTCTCTCTCTCTCTCTCTCTCTCTCTCTCTCTCTATATATATATATATATATATATATATATATATAGTGTATGCTTATAGACAACAGTCTCTTCTTCCTCCTTTACGCCTGTATATATGCAGAATCGAATGATCGCGATTCCAGGCTTTTTCTATACCACCACGCCTTTTCTTGTACATACTTGCCTTCTCCAGTCGTCCTTCTCTCGCGTCTCCCCCACACTCAACTTCACCTTCGATAATTTCGTTATCTCAGATGAAGACATTTGCGTAAAGAAAACAGAGTCACAAGATTAATAACTTGAAATAGATTACCAAATTTGATTGAAATGGATTACGAAAAAAGCCAAAAAAAAAAAAAAAAAAAAAACAAAAACAAAAAAAAAAACACATACACACACACGAACACAAACACATACACTCACACATAGAAAAATCCTGGAGAAGGCGGGAAAATGGAAAGCGCGTCGGAAGGAAGGTGATTGGGTTATTAAACAACGAAAGGAAAAAGAGAATAAGAACCAAACGAATGCATATATCGTCTTATTTCAATTGTTTCTTTGCGGATCAGTGTGTGTATGTGAGGCAAAGACGTTTAAGAGTGATGCTAACGAACCAGTTTCGATCCTTGTTTCCGCCAGGTGCCTTCATTTTCACACAGGCATGAAATTCCATTCTTCCTTGAAATTGGTTTTTATCTGGGATTTTTCCACGATTCTTCAACGGCCCATTTCTCTTTGCTTTTGGCTACAGCAGAGTTTGCACGGGACATTCTGTTAAGTGATTTGCTTGATTTTTTTTAGCGGCATATCAGCCTCTATTTATTGATGGAATCTAAATATTTTGTATGTAATTTTATGGCTTCAACTATAGATATTTTGTACATAATTTTACACGTTACTATAAAATATGTATTTTTATACGTTTTTGGTGTTGCATTGTTGGTTGTATGACGATAAACTACAACCGGCAACAAGGAGGTTTTTAGAAGTGTGGAACCACCTCTTAATTACTGTTGTTCCTAGGTCGATCCTAACTTGGGGTGGTAGCACCTGTTAGGGGGTCCCAGCTAGGGTTAAATAGTAAACCTCAAATAAAAATGAAAACATTTTATAGTATACTATAAAATGTATTATTGGTCATTTTACTATGAAAATGTATGGTTGGTCATTATTTTATAGTAATAGAGATAGTTGTACAAGTCTCTGTGATTATATTCCGTTTCTAGCATATCACAATCACCGAAGTTAATCAACGTTGAGCCTGGTCAGTATCTAGATGGGTGACCGCTTGGAAATACTAGGTGATGTAAGTTTGGAGTTACAGCTTGGATAGTGGACAATGGCTCGGAATTGTTAATCGGAATTGTTAATGAGCCGTGTTCCAATTCCCGTTGGGTTTGTTTTATTCTTTTACGAGCTTATTTGCTCGGGAAAACAATGAACCCAACTTAATGGGTTAATTAGTAGAACTCCTATCAGTAAATCATTATTATCCCCGCTCCCCCCCGAAAAATTCTTACTATCTAAAAATATTTTCTGCCTTTAAATGACCTGCAAAAGGTTGATAAGCCGTAAAAAAAACACCATAAAAACAAAATAAATTAATCAAGAAGAAAAGCTGAACAAATCACCCACAAAAATAAAAAGCCATGCAAATATAATTTTCTTGAAATCTTGTATAAAATCACTACAAAAATAGCCATTTTGTTTCAACACTTTTGGTGTCTTATCAAGTAATGGTGTTGAATGTAGAATAAACAGAAAACTCTTTCAACACCATCACTTGATAAAACACCAGAAGTGTTGAAACAAAATGGCTATTTTTGTAGTGATTTTATAACATATTTATTTTGTAATTTTCGAATAAATTATATATATATATATATATATATATATATATATTAAAAATATTTTTAGATTGTAAGATTGCTTTTTAGCACACACACACACACACACATATATATATATTATATTTATAACGTTTGCAATTCTTGTAGCCATTGTCTTCCTCTCTGGTTTGCGTGCGTCCATCGTAGCCTGAGAGGGCACCTTCTACAATAAAGGTTGAATGACGCTAGTTCTAAACGCAAGCAAGCAGTCAGCTAAAGACATCATCATTGTGTCGGGCATCTCTATTGCTGATTGCTATTATATCAACTTCATAAGACATTCGCGTTTGCCACTCCTGCTAAACTGGTGAACGAACAGCCGCTACCGCCTCCTTCATCCTCTGAAATGTCTCCTCGGCAGTCTTCATACATTCTCGATTCTTTCGTGGGATATCTGAATGAAAGAAAAAGAACGCCTCGGCTTTACGGTTTTGTTGAGGTCTTCCTCTGTCCTCGATTCCGGTCGGCCATTAGACATTGGCAAATCTAATCTTGGCGGCAATAGTTTGTTCGTCACTAATAAGATTTAATCTTTACGATTAGTTGCAGATAAACAGTGTAGCTAGCCCCGCCCTGTTCCCTTCTGCTTGCAGCGTCCCCTGGCGGATAATGGATTTAGTTAATTTGATAACAGGTCATGAAAAAAGAAGATAAAAAGAGCGACCACGTAAAGGAGGAAAAGTAAAGAAAGGAAACAAAAACATGGCAACAAACAAAAGACAACGAAAGAACAATATAGAAACGGAAAAAATGGGAGAAACGAAGAAAGAAAAGAGAAAGAGAACAAAAGAGAAAGACAATAAAGAAGAACAAGGCGGAGATAAAGAGAGAGAGAGAGAGAGAGAGAGAGAGAGAGTTAGAGAGAGAGAGAGAGAGAGAGAGAGAGAGAGAGAGAGAGAGAGAGAGAGAGAGAGAGAAATTCGAAAAGGAGAGAAAGAATGCGAAGGAAATAAAGAAAAAGACATAAAGCCAACGATTAAAATAACAAGATATAAAGGAAGAAAAAAAAAATGTTTATATATATATATATATATATATATATATATATATATATATATATATATATCGAACAATAAGAAATAAAAAATTAAAATCTTCAGACACACTGGGTTGTAGATTAATATTCTTTCGTTTTTATTATTATTATTTCATTTAGATTCCTCGACTAGTTTCGGCCAACATGGCCATCATCGGGAGAAGAAATATCTCTGCTTGCTGGTAGCAGTGAACTACAGAAAAAAATGATATATGTATATATATAGATACACACACACATACACACATACATATACATAAAAATAAAAAAAATTACTTAAACGTTACTTTTAGTGGATACTCCTACTGGGTTAGACGCTCCGTTTATATATTAATATATTATATATATATTTTTTTTCATTTTCGTATACCGGCTTGAATATTCGAGGAATCTTATTAAAGAAAAATATGCACTCCAGCAGGATTCGAACCTGTGTTTCCCTAGATTAGACCTGACGTGCTGTAGAGCTATCGGCCACGAAGAGTGTCGTTGGTTACACGAAGTTGAATAGTAGCTTTAAACACAGATTTTTCCCGTGACTCTAGAAACAGTCATATCTGTTCAGTTTCGTATCTTTGAAGTAGTAGTAGTAGTAGTAATAATAATAATAATATATATATATATATATATATATGGAACATTTTTTATCAGTAAGGTTTAGCAAGATATCTAGGAAAGGTGATGTTTTATTTGTTACTATTTCATAAGTAAATTCAATTCTATATTCAATGCTGTTTAGTTTATTTAGAAGATAATGTAATATTGTTTTCTGAGGACATATTAGAAAAGAATTTTTATCATTTCACCCCATGCAAATCAATAGAGCCACTAAGATGCAAGGGGTTACTGAGCGTGAAAGAATATGGGAAAAAGAAAACATTATTAGCGAAAGGGAACAATAAAAGAACTGGAAGTAAGAAAACACAAGATAACGATTGACATTGCATTTAAAATTTTGAAGATCAAATTTGACTGGGAAGCAAGAAGGTGTTAAAGAGTTCCACAAGCGAGAAGTGCGATAGAAGAAACTGTTAGCATAGAACTTACGGTTACGTCTCGCTATTTCAACTGTAAAATGATGAGACCTTGGCGCCAATCTAGTACTGCGCTTAAATTCATAAAATCTAGCTACCAATGCGGAAAATTCATCAGAACAATTACCATGAATATACTTATAGAAAAAGACACAGGGAAGCTACATTACGGCGGAGGGAAAGTGACTGAAGCCGAGATGTCATGTCAGGACCAATAACATTGCAGATTCTTCTTTGGATTTTATCAAGAATTTCTAAACAGATAGCAGAAGCACTAGACCAGATGTGATAGGAATATTGAATGCATAGACGAATGGTCAGCATCGATATATCAGAAACCTTTTGATTGTATTGTTAAAATATTCTGTAAAGGAACACTTACTACAAATTTTAATAAAAGTAAAGGTAAGACGCCATTAAAAGGCGACCATATTGGTAATCCGAATTTCTCTTCTTAAAAAATCGAAAGTTGAATAACATTGGTTTGTAATAAGTCGGTAAATCTTTATCATTTTTTAAAAATATAGGTAGGAACTTTAGTTTTTGATTATACTAATCGTTTCTTTAGGATATGTAAGCATTTGCGAGCAGGTACATTAGTGTATAGGGACTTAATATCTAAACTAATCATTATTCTATATTTATCGTTTTCGAAAAGGTCGCCAGAATTTTTAATATGCGAAGGGCTAATTATTCCAAGGAGTGGGGTTGGAATTTTTAGTGTAATTTTTGCTAGTCTATGTGGAGAAAAGAAAGAAAGACAAAGAAAACAAAATGAGAAGATAAGCGTAAAAACAAAGAAAAAGTAAAAGAAAGAGAAACCGAAGGACGGAACGAAGAAAGTGTAGAAAAAGAAAGAAGAAAAACAAAAAAACAAAAGAAA